ATTCTAGGGCCTCACTGACCCAGAAGCAATAAGGCTGGGTTGCACCATACGTCAAAAGTCTGTCAAACTCCATAAAAAAAACACCGGATAAAGTCACGGTTAAAATAAAGTGGTACAACTCGGCTTAAGATGCCTTAGTAGGTACGAATTTGTAAACCACATTAATCATGAAGTAATCAGCATGCCTTTTACTATAGGGACCTATCACGTTAGCTGTTAACTAGTTACCAGTAATAATAATATTGAAGTTGGCCCCCTACTGATAGGATGCAATTACTGCAAGTTCGTCTGCCAATCGCTGGAGATTCGGTTTGATGAATTTTCGATTCGATTATGAGATGAGTAGTTTCGATATGGACACTCGCGAGCATAGGGTTCATCCTGTACGTATTTAGCTGAAGATTTTTACTTAAATGTCATACAAGTTATTACCTAATTATCTAAAGAGCTTGTATTTATTTTCAATCATCATCATCATCATCATCATTTCAGCAACAGGACGTCCACTGCTGAATATAATAATATGCTTCCCCCAATGATTTTCACATCGCCCGGTTGGTAGCGGCCTGCATCTAGCTCCTTGTTCTCTTTTATATGAGGTACATTTTCAATGGAGAAAAATAATTCCTACATTAGATTTACATTTACCTAATTTTACATTGCACAGTAGTATAGATTTCTTACTAAATTCTTTATGAAAGATACAATTGTTCAAACAATGCAGGTATTCACATATTTTTTCTTTTTCAAACTACCCACATTTTCTCTAACATTCTCCCGCTGTCGCCCGCTGTTTTCTACATTAGTTTACGAGTTATCGTCACTCACTCCGGACGTCGTCGCGTCACCGGAGTCACCGTTTTTTTCTGGAAAATTCTACCGTAGAATTTTATATTTAGTGCAGATATTTTTATTGTAAAATAGTTAGTGTCTAACTAATACTAGAACTACCTAAGATTAGCCTGTGTTTAGCTTGTGTAGTGTGTGTTTATGAGGTGTGCGGTGTGTTTATGAGATCTACTGTCAACAACTTCTTCCATTCTCGAGGGCAAAAGGAGAAACAAATAACCGAGATTTGTGGTTCTCATTGCAGTATTATGGGTAAGTGCTCTGACTGACAGCTCCTTTCTTTCATTTCTCTTCTGTATTTTAACACGAACTTACTGGTAAAACCTATCGTTAGACAACGATGAATAATTATACTATCCGTTCGCTTTAAGTTTGCCGCTGGCGATATGATGTCATTCGAAGGGAATCGTCTATAACTTTATCAAACTATATTTAAAATATTTTTTATTTATTTTTATTATTAAAAAATATGTTTTTGCGTAAAATAAGACACATTAATTGCGTTTAATCACTAACTAATTGCGTTTAATCGCGGTTGGGGGAGGGGACGCGCATTCCACGGACCGGCAAACTTAGCGCGAACGGGTAGTACTTAGGTACCTCAATAGGGTGGCAATCACGTCTGACTTTTCTAATGCCATTCTAAAGCGGGTACGACGTGTCATTTAAAAACATCTTAGGATGGGAATTTCTAGTTATTTNTGTAAAAATTAATCAGTGTCACAAATGTTGTTCGGATGTCACAACGCGTGTAGATGCACAGCAAACGCTCGTATGTGCGCACCCTAAGTTTTCAGTGAACATTTTTTATTTCGTTCACTGTTGCAGCAATCTTCTATAATTCTTTGTATATGTATTTAATATTAAATTTGATTAATTGTATTATGTATCTCGTTGAAATATTCTAATATTTGAGCCTTGTTTATAAGTACTTAAACATTGTTAACTCGACCAAACTTATCTTAGGTGGTTGCTTCCATTATTGGTTGGAAAAGAAACGAAGTGTCAAATAAATAAATAAATAGAAATCTCGCAAATAAAACTAGAACTATTATCAACGTACAAGTTTAGTGATTGACGGTGTATTTATTAATAAATAAATGTGTTTTTGTAAGTTATTTTAAAGTAATCCATGTTTTTGTATAACCAAAGACAATAAAAATTTAACTAAAACGTGTTGATTATTTTTTGTGTTTTTAAGGACTGCTTTGTTTGTTGTGTTTTGTTTTAAGTCCTCTTAGTTTTAAGTAAATTTCCGCGGGGAATAGCGCCGTATTGCAAGGAACATCACTCATCGTGATACTCATCGTGAGTGAGTGATCAATGATTACCACGACCACTCTAGAAGAGTGTATATGTTATAGTCAAACCTCGAAGTTCCGGCACTCCTAGGTTTGACTAGTCAATCCTCAGGTTTGACTAGAAGTCTTAGTCAAAGCCCAAACATTTCGGCCTTTGACTAAAGAATGTTAGTCAAACCTAGGAGTAACTAATTTGGTCAGGCAAACGTCGAAACTCAATTTAATGAAATCGGGGTTTGACTAGTCAAACCTCAAATGACTTTAAACTAAACTATACTTCATTCTGAAATCGAACTTATTGCATTACGGTCGGTTTTCACGCGCACGTTGAACATCTTTTTAGGTGAAGGTACGAGTAACTAAACTTATTTACTGCAGTTGTATGTCAGTGTTTCTAGACCGATCTTGAAATTACTAATTTTTAATGTTCTGTTACCTTAAAGAATAAAGAGTTTAACCGCCTCTGTGGTCTAGTGGTTAGACCACCTGATTCCGACGCAGAGGTCCCGGGTTCGATTCCCAGTGGGGGCAGAATTTTCTGTTCTGTTTGGTTGGTGGTAGGGCTTGTTCCAAGTCCGCCTGGCTAGCTACCACCATCTTACCTAAGTCTGTCGCCATAACAACAATGTTAACTGTATTGTTGTGTTCCGGCAGTTAGAGGTAAGATAGCCAATCCCTCTGTGTTTGAGGATTCCGGGTGAAGCTCGCTTCCACCTTCGGCCTGATCGTCACTTACCATCAGGTGAGATACAGGCCAAGAGCTTCCTCGTTGTAGATTAAAAAAAAAGTTAAAACGGGACCCTATTACTATGACTTCGCTAAATGTTATCTGTCACCAGACTCGTATCTCATGAATCATTCTCTAAATATTTAGTTTTTTATTCACTTTAAAAATAAATAAATTCAATAAAATACTTAATATTTAAGGGAGGCTTCCATACAGAAAACGTGACTTTTTGCAGTTTTCTGCTCGATATTAGAACGTAAATTGGTGAACCCTTGAAATATTCACATAATATTTAGTTGCATAAGTATCTACTTCAAAAATAAATCACAAAATTAAAATCATCAATCATCAACAGCCCTTTACAGTCCACTGCTGGACTATGAGCCTCCTCCACTATGGTGGAGGGATTTGCCATAATCTCCACGCTTGGCAGGCGGGTTGGAGATCGCAGTTTAAAAGATTGATGTTTTTCAGAGAGCGCTGCTGCCCATTCTCTGTTTGTTGTGTAGTCCCTAAGTCGCCTCTTACGACACCCGCGGGAAGAGTAGGGGTTGGTGACAAATGTATTCTACTCTGCCGTCACCACACGGCTCCACGGTTTCTAGGATTGACTAGGCAAAGCCCGAAACAGATTATTTTAGTTTCGACGTTTGACTGAACAGTTTAGGCACTTCTAGGTTTGACTTAGTCAAAGGCCGAAATAAGAATTCACTTCGGGGTTTGCCTGAAGGCCTTGGTCAAACCTAGGATAGACCAGTCATTCCGCGAAGAGACTGCATATCGACCTTTGACTATGACATATAGATGACCCACGCTGAACTGTCCCACCAAACTCAATGACAGGGGGGCGCTACCATCGTTCAACTATATGGTTTCCAACATGGCAAAAATCGGAACCAGCGATCCGGTATTGACGGTGGCGCCCCACTGTCAATGTCATCGATAGGACAGTCCAGTATTTTGGAACTATACAGATTAAGAAAAAGAAGTAAAACCCAATCTCATGTCTAAAGAATATGATTCAGTAAATAAATGATCATCTTTCCGAAACTGAAAATGGTCAAACCGTTGTTGTGCAGCTTCGATGCTGTGTCACAACAAGCAAATGGAAAATGGCTTAACTAATTTAATAAATTATTTATCCTAAGCTTCAAAACTACGTGTTTTCAAATTAATTTTCTGAAATTAGAGAAAATATTCGTTTTTGCCTGAAAATATTAAATTGCAAGCTGCTGAAGTATTTTGTGTAAGTATGTATAATATCCCATTACTTTCATAAGTAAGTCTGCCGGCTCGGGATGCACACCACGACATAAACTTACCTTCTAAAATCGATAAAATACCCCGATATCCGATACCGAATCCTAGATTTGCTGGTTTCTTTCTGATTCTAGGGCCTCACTGACCCAGAAGCAATAAGGCTGGGTTGCACCATACGTCAAAAGTCTGTCAAACTCCATAAAAAAAACACCGGATAAAGTCACGGTTAAAATAAAGTGGTACAACTCAGCTTAAGATGCCTTAGTAGGTACGAATTTGTAAACCACATTAATCATGAAGTAATCAGCATGCCTTTTACTATGGGGACCTATCACGTGAGCTGTTAACTAGTTACTAGTAATAATAATGAAGTTGGCCCTTACTGATAGGATGCAATTACTGCAAGTTCGATACCAATCGCTGGAGATTCGGTTTGATGAATTTTCGATTCGATTATGAGTAGTTTCGTTAAGGACACTTGCAAGCATAAGGTTTGAAATCTATAAAGCAATTTAGGCTGAAAATTTTTACATTAATGTCATATTAAATACGTATCTAAAGAGCTTGTATTTTCAATCATCATCATCATTTCAGCAACAGGACGACTACTGCTGAACATAGGCCTCCCACAATTATTTTTACAACCGCCCGGTTGGTAGCGGCCTGCATCTAGCGCCTTCCTGCCACTTTCATATGAAGTGCATTTTCAATGGAGAAAAATATTTAGATTGTTAATTTTACATTACACAGTATAGATTTCTTACTAAATTCTCTATGACAGATACAATTGTTCAAATAATGCGGGTATTCACATTGTATGGTGAGGTGAGTAGGTCGCAGCAGAAGGCAATGAAACGCAGGAATCTTGAATATTGGATGTAATGCGGGTTTACAATGAAAGTAGGTATTTGATAGGTATAATAGACACAAAATCGACGCGCCCGCGTCGCGCTCTGAGACCCGAATGGGGGGCGGGCAGCGCCGCGCCGCTCTGCAGCTTGGGCTCCTCGAACCGGTCGCGGCGATGCGTCTGTGTGCGTGCGCGCTGACACATACGCCTTAACATACTGCCGCCCTTGGAACGTCTGGTTCCAATGTTGGTAAAGGGCAGAGCCTGTTGTAGGCTCTCCTCATTGTTCCCGATGAAGTGTAGACGTCGGCCACACGGTTGACACCATCGGCGCCGGGGAAGACAGCAGTGACTCGACCCAGCAGCCATCGGTTGGGAGGCAGGCGGTCATCTTTGATCAGAACCATCTCTCCTATTTGTGGTTGACCGCCATCTCTGCGCCATTTACTTCGCTTCTGTAATTCTGAAATATACTCCATATAATAGCGGTTCCAAAAGTGGTGCTTCAGCGATTGTGTTCTTGCATATCTTGAGAGAGTGTTGATGTGAGCATCTTGTACCTGGGGAGCAGGCAACATCGTTACTGTTCGTCCAATCAAAAAATGCGCAGGAGTTAAAGGGATTAGATCTGAAGGATCATTAGAGAGAGGAGTGAGAGGCCTTGAATTTAATATTGCTTCAATTTCTACCAATACTGAGTTGAGTTCTTCATAATCAAGATGAGTTAGTGACAATACTCTCTTTAAGTGATATTTTATTGATTTTACTGATCCCTCGGCTAAGCCATTGAAGTGGGGACTATATGCTGGGCAAAACTTGAAAATAATTCCCTTCTCAGCTGAATATGTAATTATACTAGACAGACGGACAGACGGACAGACGGACATGACGAAACTATAAGGGTTCCGTTTTTGCCATTTTGGCTACGGAACCCTAAAAACGATTAAATCATATCTTGAATTCACCTATTTGTAGTGTGGGTACTGCACTGTCACATGGGAACAACTCGTATCTACTTATACATAGAACACAAAGAAATTTTAAAATGCTGGTCGTTCAAATAGTTTTCAATTCAGTTAGAGAGACAATGGTGATAGGAGATAATATCAATGCCTCTTGTATATTAAAAGTACTAACGCTAACTTAAAAATAAAAGTCTTACAAGTAATTATCCGGTATTATCATCTCTTAGAAATCTATAAAAAGGCGTCCGCATCTCTGCGCGCGCGCACTTCACTCGCCGTCTCCGTTCTCTCAACTTTGACCTTTACGTCACTTGCAGTCGAGCACATTCGCACTTTCGTTCAATTGCCTTAACTACTAATTACGCTACCGGAAACGATGCAATAGTGATTAGTAGGCAATATTATGTCACGTGAAAGGAGATGGATAATATTTTTAGTTATTATGCCTTACGATAGCATCCGTTCTACATTCGACATCAGCCAGTCAGACTTCCTAGTAAAGCGTGGAATCAATTAAATATTTTAATAATACACAATTTCAATACGAGTAATATAAAACATTGGACCCTTCCGTAAATAAGGCTTGAAGGTCTGAGAATTCAACTTTCTAGTTAATTCAGTCACTTTATTTTCTTCTTAGTTACTACTGGTTCGTGTGTGATCATAGAGTCCAAAACATCAAGGCTGTGACACCTACCAGATGATAATATCGCTCATGAATAAAAAAGTAGAGCACAAAAGTCTTTTTTATTCCTAATTTAATTTTCATATCTTTCCGTTAAAAATATTTTATGCCAACTTAATCATCATCATATTTTATAAACTAGTATAGCTTTGGTATAATATTATTTGCTTGGTTATTTAATGAAAACATTGAGTTAAGTTTCAGGAAAGAGGTTTTGAGAGATTAACATACTGAGCAAGCTTAATTGGCATGAATTAACATGTTCAAGATTGTCTTGGTCTAGTTTACAGATGTCGGCTAAAACATCGTATTACCAAATAAAACATGCTAATGACTCAATTCACACGAATTCCTCGCAAATTAGTTGTGGCTATCACGCTGACTTGAAAAAATACAAAACTGAAACCACAATTCAATGTTTTTCATTTTATATAACTTAACTAACTGTGCCTGTGACTTTGTGCGCGTGAAAATAGTTTGAATAATACTTCTCGTTTTGCAATATTTTTCTTTACTGTTCCGCCCCTATTGGCTGTAGGGTGAGGTTTTACAGCCTAAAATCTTCCTCGATAAATGAAATCCAACACAAAAATATTTTTTCAAATCAGACCAGTAGTATCTGAGATTAGCGCGTTCAAGCAAACAAACAACAATAGTATAGAATAACCTACGTCGTATTTAACAAAAGCTTAACTTCTGCAAGATTCTTCAATTAAACTTCTCTACATAGATACTCGTATGTGTGATACAAAGTGTATTATCGCCGGTCACTTCACTGTTAGACTACTCACAATATTATACGTTATTTTAGTATTGAGAAATAAATGACTGCTTAAAAGCGTTGCAATCATTTTGGACTGCACTGCCACTGGTCAGTAAGCTAGATGCCTATCTGCACTTGCGACTATTTACGCTGGACCGATTAAGCGCAATCCTATCACTGAAATATCAGAGAACAGGTGAAGTCAGTAGGCTCACATATTGTATAAATTACTTTTTTTCAACTATTGCACTAGAAATATGCAAGATTTGTAATCAGATTCTGTCTCTATCACAGAGACAGACTATTAACATCACGGAGTCAGTTATTATGAAATGGTCATGGCAGTCGTCTCATAAAAATGTTTTGTCTATGGGTTTAGAACTCAGTTGAACAGGCGCATCATGACCGGATGAATGAAGACTAGTCATCTACCATGGATTGTTCACATTGAAATATATGTATGTCTATGTTGAGTAGTCTTTTATAACACATGATGTCGTGCCCTGAGTGCCCGAGCAAGTGTACGTAGGAGGATTTAATGAATGCTGCTGACTACACCACTCTTGTAGCGGAGTTTTGGGCTAACACTGTGTAGGCTTGTTGTCGAAGTCTTTTATGATGATTTTTATTCAACGAGCCTACTCTATACTACTCAATTACGCCAATATAGTGCATAAAACAAAGTCCTTTCGACACCGTATCAGTATGTTCCTCGTTGTGCAAGCAGAAAGATCTTTTACACTCTACTTGGTTTCAAGGTCGGTCCATTGTTTAAATTGTCTGATAAACGCATTACAAAACCGATATTTCGGTGAAGATCTTAAAAGCACTTACGACATTATACGGACAATAAAAGAAATGAAAAGTGAGACGTACATTACGAAAGTATCGGTTTGGTGATGAGTGGTTTGAGTTCGGGAATCTATACCTGAAAGGTTTAGGTTTGGTTCCCAAGTAAAAACATTATTAAAAAAATACAAAGTTTAATTAAGATACGTGTTTGTCGTGTATTTTTATAAAACATTGGCTATACAGAAATTCGTCAAATAGCTTTATTGGATAAAACATACAATAAGTATAGCATATCTAACACATAATTTTAATGTTATTTTACTGTATGGTAGTGGACATTGTATGGCTACCAGTTTTCTTTGGCTATCCACCTACGTCATAAAAGACACTGGATAGAAATATTTAGTTTCTTGTTTTAATAGATAAAATATAAAAACGCTAAACTCTTCATACGTTTTTCGTGAAAATGTTTTCACGCGACTCGAAGAGGTTTTTATCGAAGTTTTTTGCCTATTTATTTTTATTTAGATATTCATAATAATGCTTTAGATACAAAAGTGTATTATAAAAGCATTTTACCCAATACCACCTATCAACAGCACAATGAACGTCCCAACAAAGGAATACCGTTAATGAGTACTGCAAAAATTAATCACGGCGATAAATTAAAATAGTTGATTAAATACACATTAACACATGCCGCGGACACGGGTTTGATATAATTAATTTATTTCTATCGTACGCGGTAATAATTAACAAAAATATGCGGCTGAAAGCTTTTACGCGATTGTGGTAATTTGATTGCATGAGAGCAATTAAAAATTGCGGCATTACGTGCTAAGATGAGATTTGTGTATTACATAACATTTAATTTTGACAGGTACTAAATCAATATACTATCCAGAAAAAAAAATCAAAAACTATGTAGTCCGCAGTGTGTGACCTGACGTAATTTGAAAAAAATCACGGGCCTTCGGATTTCATGTTGTATAATTATCTCATGTATTTTTGATTACGTATGGTTAATTAAATCAGCTTAGTTATAAATACAATAATTATTATTCTCTTTGCAGGTTTTGATAATCTGAAAATCGACCCATGAGCGACGAGCTTCGCAATTAACGTGTGATGTGAACGCAGCGTGGGTACTACCCACAAGGTGGACCGACGACATCATAAAGGTAGCAGGAATGCGCAGGCCGCTACCAACCGGGCAACATGGAAAGCATTGGGGGAGGATTATGGTCAGCAGTGGACGTCCTATGGCTGAGATGATGATGATGATGATGAAATCAGCTTATTAATCACAATTGTTCTCTTTGCAGGTATTGATAATCTGCAAATCGACCCATGTGCGTCGACGTGTATTGTGAACGCAGCGTGGGGACTACCAACAAGGTGGACCGAAGACCTCATAAAGGTAGTTAGCAGGAAGGTTTTAGATGCAGGCCGCTACCAATTGGGCGATGTGAAAATCACTGAGGGAGGCCTAAGTTCATCAGTGAACGTCCTATGACTGCAATGATGATTGACGTGGTAGTTTAGAAACCATACCCTAGATGTCGCGGGTTCGATCCCTGCTGCACTGTACTGTACCTACTAATACATTTCTGTGCGTAAGTACATAATTGAATACTTATTCTCTGTTCACCTAACATAGGTAATAATATAGGTAAGTTTAAATTCACTGATGGCACTGCGCTAGTTGAATTCTAAGTTAGAAAGAAGGTACCTAAACCTATAAATAGTTGGTCACAATGTGGTATTTAACATTCGGCACCAGCACGTTCACTTGCTTAGCATCTTAGATCATCGGTACCGGTACCGGTACCAGTGGTTACGTAACCAAAGCAAGAACTCTCGATATTTGGTATTTTATCTAAGGAGAGCACAAATCAATTTCGCTGTAGAAATAGATCGATTTGACGATAAGCTGTTTTGTTGTGGAGGTTGGTAGATGCTTTAAGTGTCACTTTAGATTTATTAGAATGAAGAACTACTTAAGCCCGTTTTCACCATTAATCCCTAATTTTTAAGTAACACTTAACAAGAATTTTGTTTTCATAGGGGTCACTTAAAAATTAGGGACATTAGTCAAATATAAAGAATCCATTTCTAGATTTGACAATAAGGCTGAGTTGCACCAACTTACTTTTATTGTAACTATAACAATAACTGGTACTAGTGTTTTTTGAGCTTGACAGATTTTTTTACGTTTGTTAAAGTAAGATGTGCAGCCGTGGTGCAGCTCAGCCTAACAGTATCAATATTAAATTAGACTTGTTTTGCAGAAAAAATTGCTAGAATGAAATAATAACATTTATACACTAACAACTGGAACTTGACCTATATTTAAGTAGATTAAGTAGGTATGTAATTTAACCTAGGTTTCATCTAGGACTAAGAACATATTAAAATCATGACTGAGATGCTTACCGAGTTTGTTTATCATAACAAAAAGCTTGAGATCCTACTAAGTTTGCTCAGCTTAACAAACCCTTTTTTAAACACACCCCCTAATTTTCACCAATCAATTAAACATCAATTAACTGTTTCAATCCATATCAAGACCAAATACACGTGACATGTGAATTCGCAAAAACAATGAAGTGTTAACCGCTAATGTCACGCCATAAAAACGCCAT